ATGAGCAAAGGGGTCAAGACCAGGCTTGTGAAACCCACAGAAACAGGGGACCTGAACAAGGGGGAGTTCTGGGTCGCCATACTGATAGCTGGGAAACCAGCATGGGACTGATCCAGACCCCATGAATGTGGGTGTCAGGGAGGAGACCTCAGAAATCCATGGGGCCTCCTGTCGTAGATCAGTACTTATTTATCCCTAGCATAGGTGTGGACTTTGGGAACCCATTCCACATAGAGGGATACTCCCTGAGCCAAGCCACATGGGGGTGGGGGGTGGGGGAGGACCTAGGTGCTATTCCAAAGGATATGACAGATTCTTAAGATCCCCAATGGAAGGCCTGACACTCCCTGGGGAGCAGAAAGGGGATGGGATAGGTAGGGTTTTAGTTGAGGTGGGTGGTAGGGGAGGAGGGGAGGGAGAGGGAACTGGAATTGTCATGTAAAGCAATCTTGTTTCTAATTCAAATAAAAATGTACTGATGTTAAACTATAGGGGCTAAGGTAGGAGCAAACGCATGAGCCAGGAATCTGTCACATTAGTTCAAGGTGACATGACTGGAGCATTACAGTAGCAGTAGAAGGAGTGGGACAGGGCTCTGGATTTACTTTGAAGGTAGAGCTACCAGGACTTCCTGATACCTGGAGAGAAAGGGGAGGGAGTATGCCATATGACTTACAGGTTCAGGACCTCACCAACTGGAAGAGCTAGAATAGACTGGGAGAGGCTATGCTTTAGTTCTGTTGGACTGCTGGACAGCTTATAAACAACATGCATTTGTTCATCATAGTTGTAGAAGGTGGGAAATTCAAGATCAAGGCACCAGCAGATTTGTCAGGGGTGGGGGTAGGGGCTTCTTCTTCGGCTGGGGCCATCTGCTCACACTCCTCTCTCACGGCATAAAAGATGAGTTAGTTTCAGGAGTTCTTGATGAAGATGCTGATCTCATTTTTGGGTCACTGCCCTTGTAGTCACCTCTCTAATATGGACACCCTAGGCACTAGGATTTTAATGTATGAAGCTGAGGGGAATACAAAAACATATGGAAGATTCATTGTATTATCTGTGAAGTGGTGAGATAAATTCTGATGTGATAGTTATAGTTATACTAGTGACATAATGCTGGTGCAGTAATTCCCTTCTTTCTATTAAACTGAATTATAAACCATTAAATGAAAAAATCAATTTGTGGCCTAATCCTTACAGCATGTCTATTTTTCTTGGATCATAATACTCTCCAGGATTATAAAAAAACCTTTTTCTCAGTACTACAGCCAAAGTGTCTATGTTTCCAAGAATACTACAAAAGAAGAATATGGATTGGGTCCTTTTTTTAACCATGCCTGCTTTGTATTCCTCTCAAGGCTACTACATGTATATCGAGGCCTCTCACATGGTGGTCGGACAAAAAGCACACCTCTTGTCCTGGCCACTGAGAGGTGTCCCTGGGAAACACTGCCTGACTTTTTTCTACCACATGTATGGAGCAAGAACTGGCCTGCTGAGCGTTTTTTTGAAAATAGAAGAAGAGAGTAAAGAGTCCCTGTTGTGGAGAAGACGAGGAGAGCAGAGCATCTCCTGGCTACGGGCACGGGTTGAATACAGCTGCAGGACGCAACACCAGGTAAGCCAGGAGGGATGAGAGTCCACCAGGGAAACATTAACTGAAGCGCCTGGGGCTCTCCTGCTTCTTGCTACAAAAGAAAATACTTTGTCCTTTTTCAGAGTCAGAGATAAAGGCAGGATTAGTTGAAGAGTAAACATAATTAGTCTGTTATTGATTAACTCTAAGAAGTGAATGGAAAATTAGACAGGGAGCTGAAGCTTTGGACATTCATGCATAAAGTGATTGTTTTTTACAACTCAAGAGATAAAAGGGTTCCAATCCTGTCTTGTCATGTTGTGAATGTCAAGTACTTTTCTTCCAAAAGGAAGTCTCCTTTCTTCTAAATATACTAGTACTGCACCTATTACCCACGATCCACTTGCCTGTAAGGGCTTTTGTTCTAAGCCTCCACTTAAGAGTGTGTATAGCCTATGGTAAGTTTTTTAAGTCTTTGTATGCATTACTATATTGCATTAGAAGAAACTGGGGTCTTAATACCAAGTCCATGGTCATCTCCAACCCAGACCTCCAACTAATCATGTGCTATAGAAAGCCCCTGTCCTAGATGTATTCAATTATTCTAGTTAGGTGGGCCTAAGCAACTACTCTAATGGAGAAAGCCTAGGCTTGCCTTCCTATAGCCACAGACTTCACACAGCCACCAAAGCTAAAGTTCAGGGACGACAACCTTCAGACTCCCAACTGTTCTTGAATTCACTCTGTGGGAGTCTGGCATGAGCATGCTCTCCAGCTTTCCTCTGCAACCTTGCTCCTGGGTGGAAAACCTCCTTGGCCAAATTTAACCTCTGGCTAGCTGCCTGGCCTAAGCTCAGGTTTTCCTGAGAAGAGGTATCCAAAATATGGATATTCTTTTTTCACCACTCTACAACACAAGATGATTTTTCTAAAGATCTAAACTGAAGAAATTACCACTCAAACTATGGTGCTGATAAGCCACACATGACAGGAAGAAGATGTTCTACTGTCTAGGAAGGATCCATCAGCTAAGCATGAATAACTGTTTGGAGATCTATTAGAGAATGTCAGATTGCTCTATGAAGATTTTTTATGACTGTTATGGAAGGTAGATGGGCCAGATGAAAACTTACTAATGTAATTGATCATCATTCAGAGATGGTGGTACAATCTTGTTAGGCTCCCAGGAAGTCAGACCCTTTATCAAATGGTTCTCAAGGCATGGTCTATATACCAGCAGCATCAAAAATACCTGAAATATAAGTTCATCCAAAATGTTAATTCTCAGGCTCCACCTCAGAATACTAAATCAGAAACTCTGAAGGGCTTTGGAGTCCTAGATATTTACTTTAATAAGACCTCCAAGTGATTCTGATGCAAGCTAAAGTTAGAAAATCTCCAAACTTAAATGAATATGACTCTTTGGGGATGGTATTCAAACACACACACACACACACACACACACACACACACACACACCCCTACCTCCATTTTGCAATGTAGAAGATAAGTCTATTACCTCACATATACCAGGCAAGTTTCCCTCCCTGAGTTATACTCTCAGGCTAGCATTGATATTATTTTTTAATCTCAAATGACACTGATACACAAATGCTCTAAAACTTGAGTTCTGGGAATCAGCACACAGGGTCTTGCTTTCTGGGTAGGTGGTCTTTGAAATTGGTTTTGCTTCTGTTTTGAGTGGTCTGCTTATATAGGCCAGACTGGTCTCCAACTCAGGATTCTCCTTCCTTAAATTCCCATTGCTGGGATTCTGGGCATGTACCACTAAACTTGCAGTACTATTTAAATGTAGATTGACAAAGCATCAGAGGAGTCGATTTAGAATGTTTCAGTTCAAAGGGTGCAGAATAGTTAGATTTTCAGTTCACAATCTAGAAGGAAGACTCTAAAGTAAACTGACCCCTTTGGTTAGTAATGGGACAGGAAATCAATTTCTTCCTCTGCACTTAATGCTCACTTCAGGAATCCCAAATGACTCTAGGTGGTCTAGGATGCACTCTACTGTCTATAAAATACAGACACATTGTACACATGGCCTGGCCATCTGTTACACTGTGGGTACTTACAGTGCTAAGAGCTCTACATAAGTTGTTCCAATTGATCACATAGCTCCATTTTATAGGTAGAGAAAAGCAAATGGCTGGTAGAGAACTTACACTCAGACCTACCTAGTGCCAAAGTCTGTTTCCATAACCACAGTTCTACACTGCTACCTGCCCTGTAGAACTTCCAAATTGTCCTCATTCCTTTGGGGTCACAAGCACCAAGTGGCCTTGGACAAACCTTATCTGCTCTGGGATTGTTTCTACATATTCAAAATGGGTAAATAATTCTCACCATACTGACACCAGCATCAAATGGAATTATGTGTGTGAAAGGGTTTTAGAAACTTCAATGTACCAAATTATTAAAACGCATTTCACTGTTTCTAAAAACTACATTTTCCTCCCAGACTTCCCTGGTCTTTGGTTTTCATCACCATGGCAGAACTGGTAGTCTCATTAGCTGTATCAGACATACAGACTGAGTTCTTATAGTTTAATATAAAAGATCTCATTTTCATAAATATTAACCACATACATGTAATATATGCTAAATTTCTGCAATAAATATAACACATGAAGTTCTTAATTCCTTTGGAGTTTATATTCTTGTAGGAGCGTAATTTACAAAAACACTAAACTATAAGCTAGGGACTGGAGAGATAGCAAGATTGCTCAATGGTTAAGAGCACTTACTCTCTTCCAGAGAACCTGAGTTTGCTTCCAGCACCCATGCTGTGTGGTTCACAACCTCCAGGAACTCCAATTCTAGCTTCCATGGGCACCTATGCACATGGCATAGACACATACATACATACATACATACATACATACATACATACATACATACACACACATAAATGAAAAACTTTTAAACCATAAGCTAAAAATAGATAATATAATGTCAGTAATAATAAGTCAATTTGAACTCACAGAAACAGAGTTGAATAAAGGATAATTGAGGTGAGGAAAGTGATAGAATGATAAGTTGTAATGGAATGATTGTAGGAGGACCTTTCTGTCCTGCCTGCCAGCTCCCAAATAACCACACAGAGACTTCTTATTAATTATGAAAGCTTGGCTGATAGCTTAGGCTTGTTTCTAACTAGCTCTATAGCTTAAATAAACCCATTTCTTTTCATCTGTGTGCTTCCCCAAGGCTCATTTACCTCATCTATGTACTGTTCATGCTGCTTGTTCTTCATTTGGCTATTGACTCCACCCTTTTTCCCAGCATTCTCTGTGCTTCAAAAAATCCTGTAGCTATTGGCCATTAAGCTCTTTATTACACCAATAACAGCAATACATTTTCACACAGTGCACAGGAATATTCTGCAACAAATGATAAGTTGCTGGTCAAAGGCTATAACGTTTGAGGTAGGCAAAAGGAATGAGGTTTGAAATCCAATTGCACAACAAGGTGACCACAGTCAATAATAATGCATTACATATTTCAAAATGACTAGGCTACTAAATTTTAAATGTCTCATTACCAGAAAATGATGAACCATGAATAATCTGCCTGATTTAATCTTTGTGTATTATTAATGTATATTCACATATCATGTTGAACCTTATAAATATATGGAAGTATGGTTTGCCCATTAAAAAGAATATTAATTGGAGAGAGAGAAGAGGAAATGAAGATGATTAGGTGATAAAGCCAAAGGAATACTGGGTTAATTTTGCAAAACTTCACAGGACATGGTCAATATTTTGAAATTATTCCAAAAGCAGTAAGAATCCAGAAGATGGTTTTAAAGAAATGATCTGATTTTAAACAGTAGCTCCAGCAACTACTGGGAAAGCACAGCATAACGAGGACTGGATATTTGGGTCCTACAGTATTAGCCCTGGCAAGAAGTTGGCCAGGAAGCATCAGTAAAGAGAGAAGCCTACAGAGTCTTGCTAGTATTTCCTTCTAAGATGCAGTCAAGGCTGGTTTTGAATTTATAATCCTTCTTTCTTAGCCTCCCAAATGCTGTGATTATGGACATGAACCACTACACCCACCTCCACTTTTGTTGTTTTAGAGCTGCCTTGCTTGGTAACTTTGACCTGGTTTTCTTTTTCTGGATCTTCAAGACAGGGTTTCTCTGTGCAGCCCTGGCTGTCCTGGAACTTTCTCTGACCAGGCTGGCCTTGAACTCATAGTTCTGACTGCCTCTACCTCCCTAGTGCTGGGGCTAAAGGTGTGCACCACAACACCCAGCTTTTGGCCTGGTTTTCTAGACCAAAAGATATACCTATCAGTTCCATTTATTGAGTATTTAGGTCCAAACAACTTAAGAAAATTATCTTCTAATGGCCTAGTAGTCATTTTACATTTATGCATATATAATGTATATACATAATTTTATTCACCTGTTGGGTATTGAACAACTTCTCAAAACAGCCAAGGCTTCAGAGCTTGTGAAAGTTAGACCAGTTTAGATATACCAACTTCATTTAAAGTTCTGCATAGAGTTTTATATGGTGCTTGCTTTTAATTACAGCTGTTACCAAAACCCCAACTGTATAATGATATTATCAAAAGGAATATAGTATAGGCACATCTAATGTTGAATCTTTGAATGATTTTCAACTAGTAGTTCCCACAGTATTGCCAAATGTTGACTATTTCTGTCTGTGGTGATACCTTGTTTATACTCTAACAAATAAAGCTTGTCTGAAGATTAGAGGGCAGAGCTAGCCACTAGTGAACCATAGAGGTCTGGGTGTTGTACAGACAGACAGGAAGTGAGATGGCTGGGTGGAAACAGAAATATAGTCAGGAGACAGGATCTCAGTCTCTTTTCAATCTGAGGATTTCATAGAGGTAAGAGCTCTGGTGCCTGGCTGCTTTGCTTCTTTGATCTTTCAGCTTTCACCCCCTAATGTCTGACCCTGGGTTTTTATTATTAAGGCCTATTAGAACTTACGCTACATTTGTCTGAAATTTCAAGCTATCCTACAGCACCCTTGGGAATATACTTGGCTATCTCAGCCTACAATTTGGGAATCAACAGGAAACCTAATTTAGTCCTATATTTATTATAGGTGTTCTATAAATAAATATTCGTTTATTAGTTGCTACAAGATAGTGTTGGTTAGGCTTAAAGCCCAAGGATAAGCAAAAATAATCTTGTAAATGAAGGAAAGAAGAGTTGCTACCACATATCTAAAATTATAACAGGAAAGTCACGGGGCTATAACATGGTTGTTACTTAAGTATTAAGGAAATTCACAAAAGGTTTATAAAGTCCATAGTTTGGCAAATCACATATTATTTAGAATGTCATTCAGTCAGAATTTGTCTATTATAGTAATTTGAATCCCAAAACCAGATGTTGTTACTGTTGAGAAAACCAAAGTGTTTATTAATTGCATTCATATATTCTCCTATGCAGAGCATTAGAACATCTTACCCCCCTTTTCTTACCACTTATTTGGATTCTTGTTTAGGGTTGTATATGCTAAAGAAATAGAATCCTAGATGGATGGACAGGCAGATGGACAGATGGATCGAAGAGAAGAGAAGGATTTATTATACTAATTGGTTAAGAATTTCCATAATGTGTCATCTATTGAGTATTGCGTGCTGTGTGCGCTCAAAGATGATCCGTAGTCCATAAGGCTAAGATGTCTTTATTCAGATAAACACCAGCCCAAACACAAGCCAGAGTGGCCGCTAGCGTGGCCAGAAAGAAGGGCTTTCCACGTGTGCTCGGTCCCTTAAGAGGTCATCTTTGACCTCCCCTGACCATGCCCTCATGGCCAGGCACACCTGTAGGGGCTGCTAGGAGGCGGGGCTACAGTGTCTCCCTACAGTCATCTGCAATTTGGGAACCAGGAAAGGTATAGCACAGCTTAGTCTTTATCTGAGAACATGGGAAACAATGGTCTAACCTTCACAAGACCTGAAGCCTTGCCTGATATAAGTCTTTGAATCCAGCATTCAGATGCCCAGCACCAGAAGATAGGTGTCCCGTTCCAAAAGAGAGAGAACGCTCTCTTCCTCTGCTTCCCACACTGAATAAAGCCCACACACTCTAACTTGGGCCACTGCTACAAAGACCAATCTTTTCCAGAAAGTGTTCCTCCACACACATGCTCAGAAATAATGCCTTACAACCACCTTGATGCCCCTTAGCCCAGAAAAATTCATGTTTAAAATTAACCATTACATGTTATGTCCTTAGAAAGTTTTTTGACTTTATTTTGTTATGTGTTTGCCATTAAAGTTTCCTTGAATCATTAAATTCAAAATAATGACATGAACTTATTCATTATCCTATTTATTATTTTTAAGTTTATTTTTATTTAATGTGCATTGGTGTTTTGCCTGCATTTAAGTCTGTGTAAGGGTGTTCGATTCTGGAGTTACAGACAGTTGTAAGCTGCCATGTGGATGCTGGAATTGAACCCAGGTCCTCTGAAAGAGCAGTCACTGCTCATAACTGCTGAGCCATTTCTCCAGTATTCTATTTATATTCTTAATTTGGGGTGGCTTTAATAAGATTTAATAAGATTAGCTCAGGGAACTTACACGGAAACAAGTGACTGTCGCGGTGCTCCTGCTCCAAGGATGCAGACCTTGCCACCAGCATGCTCTCCATAACCCGAAGGGGTCTTCCAACTCCAATCCTTTTCCTTTTAACCAGTCATGTCCGCACCTGTGACCACTCCCAAAAGGCGTGGTCAGTGATTACAGGTGCGGAAGCGAATATATCACTACACTGTGAAATATTTCAACTCCAAATAATATAATTTGAATTTGTAATTTTATTTTAGTTTTGTTTGGTTATTTTATTTTGAGACTGGGTCTTATGTTTTCCTGGCTGGCCTCCAGCTTGCAATGTAGACCAGGCTGTCCTAGAACTCACTATGTAGTCTAGTCTGGCTTGAATTTGCAACCATCCTTCCACTTTAGCTTCTTGATTGATGGGATTATAAGGCCAGGCTTGAATTTGTAATTTTGTGTCCTTTTCCTTACAGTCATCCCCACCAGTTATCAAAGTTTTTAGAACCACAAAGGCTAGCTCTTCCCTGACCAACACAGTTTTATCAGCTTGACTCTATTTCTAAATAAAAATATCATTCTTTTTCAGATAATTTTTGAAGCCATTCGAGGAGGGTCAATAAGAAGTGATATTGCCATTGATGATGTTAAATTTCAGGCAGGACCATGTACAGGTAATATTTTCCCCAATTACATAAACTAGATTGGAAAATGGATTTTTATAATATAGTCTCAAATTTTAAGAATTCAAAATTACCTTTTCTATAGAGAGAATAAATATTGTCTGTCTTTCCTGACAGAAATGGAAGAGACAACTCAACAATCATCAGGATATTCTGAAGACTTAAATGAAATTGAGTATTAAGAAATTATATACATTGGATTAAGTAGACAAAATTTGTACCTCTCTTCAATCAAAGTGAAAACAGAAGAAATGGATACTGGATGTTCTTAACTATTGAATAAGTTGAAATGACTTTGGAACACCCCCTTTTGTTATTTTTGAAAATATATATGTATATTGACTCAGGGCTTACCTTTTTTATTCCCCAGCACATTTGACAACTGTTACTAGAAGTACAGGCTACTGGTTTTACATAGACCATTTCATCTTAATTTTGGTGCCAGTTAAAAATGCAACCGTGCTATGTTAAAGTCATTTCAAAGTGCACATATAAAGGGCATAATCAAGATGAATGTGCTTATTTAAGTCTGCATTCAGTGAATGTATTGGAAGACTAGGTATTGATGGTTTTCCTTTTGAGTTTCAAGTACAAAAATTTTTCTTAAATAATGCAAGGTGTCGGTAATATCTGCAAAATGAATGCAGTTTTTTTATGGTGACACATTACTCTGGAAATAAAGCCTCATTTGTGTATTTTATTCATAGAAAAAAGCTATAAATCTTTAGTATTTCACCATAGGTATAGGAAAGGAGCTTTCATGGAGCCCCAAGGTAAGTCCATACTAATTAACGCTGTAGTACAAGGCGAGCTACCTTTATTGCTCTCCCTTTGAACTACCTTGGACAGTCACTATGAGCACATGGACAGAAATGTACCTTTTCAATAAGACAAGCTTGAATTTTTCATGTATACATAACCAACAATTTTTATAAACTTGTTTAACAATTTGACTGATTTTTATAATAAATGTTTTGGTGAAGTTTTGAGTAATATGAGTTCAACTATATTTACTAAACTATTGTTTTCTATTTACTAAGAGAATTGTATATATGTGTGCAGTTTAGTGGCCAAGTAGCTGTTGTGAAACTTCAAAATTACCTAATAAAAGATAATTTGAAACTCCTTTCATTAACAATTAACTCGTTTCTACATTATTTGTCTTTACCAGAACATATTCATCATATAATTGCAAATTCTAAATGGAATCTCTATTCTGCCATAATTAAATGTCTTAAGTCACCTTATTAGTGATATCAACACTGCATATGTTCACATAGTGATTAATATTTAAAGAGTATTTTATTTCCCATAGGCAATCTCAGTTTTCCCTAAATTTTATCAATAGAATTAAACTATAATGACACAAATTCTTTTCTTTTATCTTTAAAATTTAAATTTACTTATTGGGGAGGGGCACATGAATGCCATAGTGCACGTGGTAAGATTCTGACCTTCACTTGAGAGATTCACTTCTCTTCTTTTATCACATATGTCCTGGGGACTGAACTCAAGCTGTCAGGTTTATCAGCAAGTACTTCTACACACTGAGCCATATAACCAACCCAGGACACAGAATCTATTGTTTACTTTTATGTTCTTGGTGCCCAGAAACAAAATTGAATGAGCAAATGGGTTTATTCTGTCCCTCATCCCCTGAAATGGAAATAAAATTAGCATTTTCACCAATACGAAAGCAGAGTATCAGTACTGGGGATATAGCTCAATGATGCAGCACTTGCTAAACATAAGCAATGCCTGGTTTGATCCCAAGTACCACAAAGATAAAACAAAATGAAATGACTGAGTTTCAGAAGGTGGAAAGCATTAAAGTGGTGGCGTGCAATAGTTGACTTCCTAGCTTTGCATGACTATAAATCCAATGGCCTCATCTGTGAAGAATAACACGCCTCTCTGCATGCCACATTACTTAGAAAATAAAAATACCCATCTGCACAAAATCAACATCCTAACGTTTATAGGGAAAACTAAATTTATTTTGTAATAAAACAATTTTATTAGTGAAATTTGTCCTATTATGATTTTTTTTTTTTTTGGTTTTTTGAGACAGGGTTTCTCTGTGGCTTTGGAGGCGTGCCTGGACTAGCTCTTGTAGACCAGGCTGGTCTCAAACTCACAGAGATCTGCCTGCCTCTGCCTCCCAAGTGCTGGGATTAAAGGCATGCACCACCAACGCCCCAGAGGTACAATTTGAGTTTGACATATATTAGACAGCATAAATCCTTCACAGCATTATTCCCACCTATAATTATTGTCACATTTGCTGAATAAGGTTCACTGGCATCCTCAATGGTGACATAAACTCTCACGTAATCAATCATTCCATCTAACATTTATTGAATACCTACTATTTTCAGAGACAGGGCAAATATGTTTTTACACACATTTACTTACTGAATCCTAACAACCCATGAAGTAGATCCAAACAGAAGTTCCATTTTATAAATAAGAAAGCTAAATCTGTTCAAGATCAGTAGTTAGTGCAAGACCTAGCTTTGAAACCACGCCTGTTACAATGGCCTCTTAAACCTGCCAGAACTCCCCTAAACTCCAACAGCAATAAAGATTACAGACTATCCAAAGGTTCCTAGTTTCCCTTTTCTAGGGTTTATTAGCTATACAAATAACTCCAATATGGAACTTAGGGGATAGCTCAGTCAGTAAAATGCCTGCCATGCCACCATAAGGACCTCAGTTAAGATCCCCAGGCACCCTTGCCAGAAGCTTGACATGGTGCCAACTAGATGAGCTCCAGGTTCAGTGAGGGAACCTGTCTGGGAAAAACATGAGCTTAGCAGGTTGGAGAGATGCCTCAGCGGCTTAGAAAATTATTTGTGGGCAGCAAAGAAAGAAGTAATTACTAACGGCAGTTGCTAAGGAACAACCTGCCGTTTTTAGAGGCAAGGAGGTGGAGAGCTGAGTGACTCACCTTCCCTCACGTATACTCCTTTCAAGGATCCCACTGTTTCATGCCTCAGTTCTCTTTCCAAATGGCTCTCAGCATTCCTTTTGACTATATTTCACATGGATGAAGATATAGGCAGATAGTAAGCACAACATAGTTTTCCCAGGTTCAAAAATGCCCAAGAGGAAGCACACTAGTTACTAAGTGCTACTTAACAATTTAACCCTAGTCTTTGCATTTTTCCAACTCTCAGCAGCACCTAAACACCCGAGCTCTTTAAATAGAAACAGCTTTCTATGCAGATTGCCTTCACTCTTACAATTCACCATCTGCAGTGGAGGTTATTTATGTATAGAAAGGAGGAATAGTGTAGAAAGCAAGGAAAGAGTACCTCTCGTGCAGGGTCTAGCTTAATATGGAAGAACAGTGTTCAGAGATGATTTCTTAAGTTATCTGTGTTCTGGGCATCTTACCAAGCATGGAGGTTTACAAAGATGCTCACAGATTAGTGGAGAAGGTGAGATACAAGACATTCAGCAAGCACAATTTTAAGAAACACAATGTGATCATATGCTCAGAGTTTATGGGAAAGCCTAGGAGGGGCATCTGACAGCAGAGATTCATAATATAGCATTCCATAGGCCTGGACGCTTTCTTGTCTTACTCTTGAGGGGATAAAACATGGGCTCCTTGACTTCTCATCCCTATATTTCCCCCATACAACCAAAGGGGAAAAAATGAGTTTTCATAACTAGTAAGTTTCCTAGTACTACTAAATTTCTGATATGTGGATCACTGTAAAGATGTAGCATAACTCAGAAATTAGGTACCCTGGTCCTAGATTCTGGCTGCCTCCATTCAAATCCTGGTTCTACCGCTTACAAACTATAATTGGCAGCAAGTCGTTTACCCTCCCTCTTTGGTTCCTTTTCCTACTTTGCAAAATGAGGTAAGGCAGTTACTATGAAGAAAAACTGAAAATAATAGGTGGCAGGATGTGGTAGCACATGCCTTTAATCCAAGCACTTGGGGGGGGGGTGGGCTGCAGGAAGGAGAACAGGGAATTCCAAGTCATGGTTAATTCTATAAGGAATTCATGGCCAGCCTGGGCTATATAAAACTTGGTCCCAAAACAAAGTAAAGCCAATAAAATATCCAACAACAGCCAATATAAAACTACAAGAACGTAGACATATTTAGTTTCTAACACAAATGTCTTCCCAGTTCATATGATAAGGAATTGGTGAGATTTCAGATAAATCTCAGTTATTTTTGTGTCTCTTTCTGTATAGAGAAACTGTGAGCTTATAGTGCCATCTTAAGGATAAAGCAACCACATAATCTTGTCATGCTGCCATCTTCTTAGCACTAGGTGCTTTTCTCAAGACTCACTTTAAGCAGCAGTTAGGTAATGTCTTCCCCTTGTTCCCATAGCAGTCAATGACCCAGCGGTCGCTGGCCATGGTTTTTCTGAACTGTACATGAATTTCTCGGAAACCATATGCTAAATTAGACTTCTTGTTTATAGGTCCATCTTTTCAAAAAGTGTCACCTAACTTAGCTTTCATGAGGTATTTATGGATTAACTAAGTGTTCAAGAAAAGCACTTGGTTTCCCACTAACATGCACATGGGTTCCTAATACCAGAAGGGGTATAAAAGGTCCTCTTGGGGTCTATAATAATTTCACTGGTCTTTTTTTATGTATTTATCTGGATATTTCTGTCCAAATTTAGCCATCTTCTAACACTTCATAAGTTAGTGAATGGTTGCATATTGTAAAATATGCAATAGATTCAAACCCAACCACACGTCTCCTAAAACCAGCTTTTAAATAAGGTAAAAGAGGCAGTTAGATGTCTCATCAGATAAAGGTGCTCGCCATTAAGCCTGATAGACCTAGCTGGATTCCCACCCCCATAGGGTGAAGGAGAGAACAACTCCTGTAAGTTGTCATCTGAGCTCCACATGTGTGCAACCATGTGTGCATGCACAAAAGCACCTACACACTAGACAGATGGATAGAGGGATGGGGGATAGATGGATAGATGAATAGGCAGGCAGACAGAGAGTTAAAACATTTTTAGGAAAACATATCGAGAAATGAAGGCAGAAATGAGGTAGAATGGAAAAGAATATCAAAACATATTTTACAATGTATATCTATTGACATATACATGTGTTACTGTTTAAATATTAAATTACAAATATGGTAAGAAATAAATGCTGGGGGAATGCTGACATGGCCCAGTAGTTAAGACCATAGAGAAACTCACACATCCTTGCTGATTGTTGCACTCTTCACAAGAGCCAAGATAAGGGATCAACATTTATTGTCATTTATTTACTTCAGGAGAGTCATTATGACTACAATGAGATATAATCTCCAGGCAGTTTTAATTTGCATTTCCCTAGTGGCAAAAGGTGTTGAATGCTTTCTTAAAATATGTATTGACCATTTACATTGTTTTAGAGATCACTTTCTGAGAATTATTTGCTCAATCTACATCCAGTGTTTTTGTTCAGATGATTTGGGGGTTTAGTTTGAAGTGTTCCTAGCCATCGGTATAGTTGGGAAAGCTTCCCTCCCATTCCACAGATGATCTCTCGACTCTGCTGATTGTTTCTTTTGCTGTGCAGAAACTTCTTAACCTATTTGCAATTCCATTTATCAATTCTTGGAATTATTTCCTTAGCTAATAGAGTCCTTTTCAAAGCCCCTTGATGATGCCTGCATCTTAAAGCACTTTCCTTAGCAGTTTTAGGGTTTCAGGTGTTAACTAAAGTTTTTGGTGCATTTTGAATTGATCTTTGCACGTAGTAAGAGGTAGATAGAGTTTATTCTTGGACTGGTGGATAGCTAGTTTACGTTGCACCATTTGTTGACAAAGCAATCTTTTCTCCAACATTATGTTTTTTTTATATATCTTTGTCAGAAATTGGCTGGCTGTAGCTGAGTAGATTTCTTTGAGTCTTCTACTTTATTCCATTGATTGTGTCTGTTTTAGGGTCAGTGCTGTGCTGCTTGCTATTTTTGGCTCTGTAGGACAATTTGAAATCAGGTTTATTCCACCTCCAGAACTGCCTTTTGGCTTAGCGTTGCTTTGACTATTTTGGTCTTCTGTGTTTCCACGTGAAATTTAGTGATGGTTTTGATTTTGTTGTTGTTAATGTTTCCTAGTTTTGTGAAAGATGTCATTAGAATTTTGATGGGGAT